GCCTTGATTTGTGCAGCAATGCTTGTCCCTGGACCGTGGTGTAAGCGAAGGCAGCAGGAGAGGGAGCTGGGCACATTTACCCTTTGAAATATCTGTGTTTGGTTGCTTCCTGAATTTCACAGGAATCCTATACATGGTGTCTCTGTGAGCCCTCCTGCCCTCTCATTGCCAAATACTGCACTAGAAATGAGTGCCACAGTGAGGTTCCCCAAGGGCAGAGGCATGTGAGGCAGGAAGCCCTTGCTGTCTCTGGCACCAGGAGTTACTTTGTGCCCCTCACTGGATTTGGAGCAATTGTGGTGGGTTTCAAGCTGGTCCCCAGGGATGGTCTGGGGAGAGGGACAGGAGACTAGATACTGCCTGCAACCAGAGCTCCACACACACAGGGGTCATGAAGCACTGACACAGTTAACGAAGATCCCAACTCTTCCCTCTTGGCCCCTGTCATTAAAATGCACCCTCACACGCAAGACCAGATGGGCTCCTTGGTTCCTGTTTTGGGGTGGTGTAGGTTGGGATGAGACAGATTCTGGAGGAAGCTAGAGCTCTGGACACGTGGAGAGGCCATAGGGTGGAGGTGGTGTTGACAACTTAGCAATGCTGGATCGATGCTGGAACAAGGTGCCTGATGTGCTGGCTGTTTGCACAGCCTCACGTGATGCCCAAGAGACAGGATGAAGCCATTGTGAGAGCGGGAGTTAAGAAGGGGGACCTCGGCCCTGAGATTAGGCTGAGGAGGCAGCAGGGCAGAGATAATGGGGAGAAAGACAGCTCCACTGAGGGCCCAGGCATCAGCAGGCAGATGTAAGGGGGACAGAGCTGGGGACAGGGAAAATGTTTCTGTAATTTGGATGTCTCCCACAGACAAACGAAAAGGTTTTGATGGGCAGCTTTGTCTGCCTTAGGAGCCCAGGGGTCCCAGCAACCTGGCCTTGCTGGTGAAAGGTCACCACTCGGGAAGGAGAGAGGAAAGGGCATCTCCTAGCTAGCAGGACAGAAGGACCACGGCCTCGTCAGGAGCAAGCCAGGAGAAGGGAGCAGACACACATACAGGCTGTGCCAACCCTTGGGCTGCAGTGACACTCACCTGGGACATGCCTGCTCCCCGTGGGACACGAAGGGTGTCCCACGCAGGCGCCCAGCTCCCACCCCGTGGCCCCAGTGGGCTCCGCCACTGGCCATGCGGCTGCGAGCCCGGGCGGGATGTGGGGCAGGAGGATGCTTCGGGGCACAGGGTGCCTGGGCGCTCCGGGGCGCAGCGGGGCAGGGCGGCCGGAGGCGGCGGGCCCTTTAAGTGCGGCGGCGGCGGCACAATGGCCATTATCACTTTAGCTTTGGAAGTGACCCCCGGCCCGCTCCGCTTTCATGTGGGCCGGGGCCGCGGGGATGGCCCGCTTCCTGGCGGGGGAGGGGAGGGCGGGGGCCGGCGGGGAGGGGAGGGGCGGCCCGGCCCGGCGCCGCACGCGGCCGCCCGCTCCCGGGGGTCACTGCGGGGCTGGCACCGGGGCGGCCGCGGCTCCGCGCCGCTTCCTGCCGCCGCCCTTAAAGGTGCGGGGCGGCCCAGGGTGCGGGCTGGGCGTGACTTGACCCCCGGAGTCAGGTGAGTGCGGACCCGTGCTGGGCGCCGTCGGGGCCGCGGCTCCTCGCCTCCTCGCCATCCCTTCCAAAGCCGGGGCTGTCCCGCTGTGGCGGCACCATCCCCCGGCGGGAGTCCAGTCCCGTTCTGCCCTCGGTCTCCGCTCGGCAGCTAGCCGGGCATCGGCGGCCTCTCCCCTGGCCCGGGGCTGTGTGTCCCTTTGTCTCCTGGCGAGGGGAGCGGCCGCCTGTGCTCCCACCCGGGGTGCGGGGCCGTCCCCGTCGCGGGGCAGCCGCGCAGAGCCGCCTCCGCCGCCTTCGGGAGAGGCGTGAGCAGCCGCGGGTGCCTGGGCTGGGGGTGTCTGCCCGGCGCCGCCCGCACCCGGGCGCTCCGTGCCCCCGCCCGAGGGGCGGACGAAGCCGGACTTGGCTGCAGCGCTTCGGCCTGGGTTAAGGTGGGTTTGAGGCTTTTCCCTCTCCCGGTGAGCGACTCCCCATTTGTGAGCTTCGGTGGATATGTGGCTGTTGGCAGATGGAGCAGGCATCCTGGTGCCTTTGCTGCTTCCCCCTGGAGCTCCTCCGGTGATATTTCTAGCCTAGACAGCTGATGGAGGCTACTACTTCTGTGCTCCTGCCGTAGGGTCCCGCTGGTTCAAATATCCTCCTCTCAAACGAGAGGCTGTACCACTGGGGTGGTGTGAACCTGCAGCTGGGGCTGGGAGGTGAGCCACTTTACCCAGGTGGGCTGGGGTGCATGAACACCCCTGCTCCTCTGGGGTACATGCAGTCTTTGGCAGTTGGGGTTGAAGTCTCCTGGATTCCTGCTGGTGGGAGCATTTTTGGGACTGGCTGGGGGAACTTGCACTACTGGATGCCACCAGCCCATCAGTTTAGGTGAGGGAACGTGACCTGCAGCTGTTTCCTTATCTGTTACAATGCAAAAGTGGCTAGGTTAGGTAAAACCTTTATCAGCAGCAAAAAGCTCCCTTGGTTACTTCTTGGTGCTGAGGTGCTTTAGTGGACACTTGTCTGTCGTGTTCAGCATGCTTCCCTGGGGCTGTGCAGGGAGAAGTGTTCCCTTTGCATTGGGTCCCCTGTGCTGAGAGCTGCTGGGTTTGATCTGGCCATGAACCAAGCCCCCCAGCTTGTCTGACTTCTGCTTCTGATTTACCCAAGCCTCTCTCCAGCTGCCTGAGGAGTTCCCTGCTGCTGATTCAGCTGTGAGTTTTGCCTTAGGATTGCTCTGGGAAGCAGGAGCTGACAGTGACATTGAGGCTGTGGATTTATTGCTGAAGAAAAGGATTAATGGCCATTAAGCTGTGCCTCCAGCTCTTCCTCAGTCTATAAGGGGATAGGAAATGCCTACTAGGACAGAAATACCAGGGTTGTTGCTGATGCTCTCTAGTCTGTATCAATTATGTCCTCACTCTCTTCTGGGTGAAAAAAGTCTGTCTTGCTTTTCTTGAGTCTCCTGGTGGGACAGTGCTCAGCAGACCTTGGCTGCTGCAAGGGGAGGTGGCTGGCTCCTAAAGCATTTGACAGACCACAGAGAGGGAGTACTTGGGCTCTGTCAGCTCTACAGTTGTCCTGAGTTGTGCCTTTGTTTCAGCTCCCCAAGTGTATGTCACTCAACATAGGCTTAGTCAAAATAACAATGCAGATCTGACCTGAAGTGACAATTCCATACCTTCTCAGATCAGGATTTTAGGACAGGTTTATCTTCCTTGCTTCACAGCTGTGTGCATTCTCCTGTTTGTCTCTAGTAACTGATGCCCTACAGCTGTGGGAGCAGCTGTAGGAGCGTTCTGGCCTCTGACATAAAGGAGATTGTCGAGAAGTTTGGAGCAGGGGAAGGGATGCAATTGGTGACTACCTGTGGTCTGATTAAAGGCAAGGGGCAGCAGCACCAGCATGGAGGCTCCTTGTGATGAAGAACTTGTATGTGTCCGTGTGATTCTCTGGCACCTTGTGTGGTTTGTTCATGGCCAGGGGCCATAGATGTAACAGCACTAAAAACCATATCTGCAGCAGGACTGAAAATTGGGAGAGTTCTGGCTGGACATCTGCTTTACTGTAGAGCTGCTGCTTTTCCTGCTTCTGCTGTGCGTCATGTACCCACAGAACAGTGAGTACATAGTGATACCTGTGAAGTGTTGAGAGAAGGTGAGCTCTGGCTGGCCTATGAACTGAGCAGGCTGCAAAGTGATGCTGTACATAGTAGCCATGATATGAGAATGAAAATTTGGAGAAAATGGAGGAGATTTGGCTTCTTGAGTGAGGTGTTGTGGTCCCTGGGAGAAAACTGGCCCAAAAGGGGGAAGAGTAGGTTGGCTGGGGAGAGGCCTGAGCTGTCTCTCTGTGAAAGGATGCTGAAGAGGGCTGCACTGATGAATCTGGAGCTAAGAGCCGTGCAGCCATCATGAAAGCCCTTGGAGTGCTGGGGACAGAGCCACATAGGAATCCAAAAGCTGAACAAAGCTTTTGGATTCCTGTGTGGAATCCAGTAGAAATATGAAGCTTTGACCCTTTGTATTTCATGAGCGGGAGCTGGCATGCAGAAGGAGGTAGGACAGGACTGGGACCGGCTCAGGCAGGGAGGAGCGCTCCATAAAGACTCTGGAATACCCACTCAGTGCTTGCACTCTATCTGTACTTTTGGGTTGCCTCCTGCCTGGTAGCTCGTCTAAGAAGCCCTCCTTTTGCTCCTTCTCCTTAGCTGTGTGTGTCGGCTGAGCAGCAAGTGACATCTAGTGTCAGCTCAGATAGCAGTAGCCATGGCTTGGGCTGGCTCTGTCACTTCCATGCGAGGTTCTGTGGCAGTTTTTGGTGCATGCAGTGGGTGCAGCTGCAGTGCCCTGCTCTGAGGGAGAAGGCAAGCTCCTTGCCCCTTCTGCTGAGCTTGAGCCAGGTGCATCCATGGCCCCATACAGGGTGGTTCTGTTACAGGTCCTTTCCTGCAGTGACGACAAATGTTTTCCCTTTGAGGGAAACTTCTCTCTGGGTGCTGGTAGGGGAGTAGTAAAATGGAAGTGATGGAACCACTAGAGGGAGAGGTGGGTGTAGGGGTGATGCCAGGCCAAAACCGGGTATGCAATGGTAGGAAGTGACCTGGATTCCCACCCCATGGGTGCAGTCACTCCTTAGTTTTGTTTAGACAAATGGAGTCTGTGTGCCATATGTGCTGCCCACAGGAGGTCACTGGCGAGCAAACTTGAACCCATGTTCCACTCCCAGGAACAGGTCTGCCTGGTGAGGACTGGGTCTTCCTCCTTTGTCCTTGGAATGTGCATGGTGGCCTTTCCTCTACCTTTTTCCCCCATCCTGTCCTTTGGGGAAGAGCTGGACTTGGAGGCCAGGTCACTGCCAGTCTGAAGTGTGCAATGTCTTCATCTCCAGTGACTTCTTTATTTTTGCCATCCTTCAGGATGATCCAGAGGCACCAGCTGGTGCAGTCTGTGCTGCAGGAGCTACAGGAAGCCACCGAATGCTTTGGTCTGGAGGGCCTCACCAGTGCTGCACTGGAGGCAGAGAGGACCTTGTCATCTTTCTCCCTACCTGGTTATTGTGGAAGTCAGTTCCAAGAGGAGCTGGAGGTTGACCGGGTAGCCAGGAGCCTCTATCCTGAGGATGCCCCAAGTAACATGCTGCCTCTCGTTTGCAAGGGTGAGGGAAACCGCCTCTTTGAGGCTGCTAGTGTGCTGCTCTGGGGCAACCCCAGCCTCAGCCTGGAGCTGCAGGTGCGTACTGTGGTGGAGATGCTGCTGCACAAACAATACTACTTGAATGGCATGATTGATTCTAAAGTGATGCTGCAGGCTGCCCGCTATTCCCTGTGCACTGAGGAGACACCGGAGATGACCAGCCTCCCCATGGCTATCCTGGAAGCCATCTTTGATGCTGATATCAAAGCTACCTGTTTTCCTGGCACCTTTGCCAACATGTGGCATGTCTATGCTCTTGCCTCAGTACTGCAGTGTAACATCTACTCCATCTATCCCATGAGCAACTTGAAGATCCGACCCTATTTTAACCGGCTCATCCGGCCCAGGAAGTGTGGCCCGCGAACCTCCACGCTGCACATCATGTGGTCAGGGCAGCAGCTCTCCCGGCAGGTCTTCAAAGCGCAGTACTTTGTGGCCGTGGTTGGCCTGGAGGAGCTGGAACCCACAATACCTTCACCAGAGCCTCCTGTCCAGCCCATGAAGACCCTTGAGCTGCTGAACAGTGACCCCCAGTTGACCTACTCCAACCTGCGTGACCGCTACAGCATTACCAAGAGCACCTTCTACCGCTGGAAGCGCCAGTCTCGTGAGCACCGGCAGAAAGCGGCTGCCAGGTTTGCAGCTAAACACTTCCTCCAGTCCTGCTTTCAGGAGGGCAATATAATCCCCCTCCAGCACTTCCGACAAATGTTTCCAGAAATCTCCCGATCCACATACTATGCCTGGAAGCATGAGATGCAGAGCATGGTCAATGGTGATACCTCTGCTCTGTCTGAGGCCCACAGGTTGCAGGAACTTCACAGGGTTGTCCCAAAAAAGGCTGATGTGAATGAGCCAGGAAATCCACAGGGGAGCTTAAAATCCTCAAGTCCCTCCCCAGATCCCATTCAAGCAGGAATCTTTATGCAAGGAGCCAAATCCTACCTGGAGAAATGCATTTCCATGAACACTCTGGTGCCTTACAGATGCTTCAAACGCAGCTTCCCAGGCATCTCCAGGTCCACTTACTATAACTGGCGAAGAAAAGCAATCAAGGAGAACCCCAACTTCAAACACCCCCAGTCACCCTTGGATAACCAGAAAACTCTAGCTGTAGGAAAGCCATTCCTGCAGTTGAAGCCAAGCAGTGTGCCTGTTAGGAAGAGATGGAATGGAGACCGGCCAGCATCCAGGAGTCTGCTGCAGCTGCATCCTTCTCTGTGCTGGAGAAAGCAGCTGCGAGATGTGGCCAGGAGGCAGGTCCAGCAATGGCAGCTGCCGTTCTGCAAGTTCCGCCTGCGCTATCCGTCTCTCTCCTCCACAGCCTACTGGTTTTGGAAGGGCAGTGGCCAAACCGTTTGGCAGCATCGCCTGCCCTGGAGCAGCTCCAGCCTGCCATTGAACCGTGTGGCTTCCCTGGCACCTCCAAGAGCAGAGCCAGGCCTCAAACCGCAGTGCCATTTGGAAGTAGCCACCAAGCACATAGATAAGCCAGCGCCTGCCATGCCGTGCAGCACCACCATTTCGGGCTATGCCGTGTCGGAGAGAGCCAACAGCCGGATGTTTGTGATGGATGTGATCGCCACTGCCCAATTCAAGGCGCAGGCCAAGCTGTTCCTGCAGCGGCGCTTTGAGTCGAAGACCTTCCCAACCTACAAGGAGTTCAGTGCCCGCTTCCCACTCACGGCCCGTTCCACCTATTACATGTGGAAGCGTGCTCTGCACGATGGGCTAACATTGGTGGATGCCTGAGGAGCTGGCCACAGCTCCTCTGCTGATGTGCCCTTTGGCTCTCCGGTGCAGTGCCCAGGTTGGGGCATCGCTAATTTTGTTCTGGTTTGGTTTTGTTTTGTTCCTAGTCTCTGGCTTTCTTTTTTGTGTGGTTCAATCAGGTATGGGAGCATCCTCATAGTGCCTATTCCCAGAGGCTGGAGGAGTGGAAGGAGAAGGCATTGAGTATCCCAAGGGAGAGGGGCCAGGTAATTTTCCTTTCTTTGTGCTCAGAGGATGAGCAAGGGAGGCAATACTGTGTTGATGTCCTGGGATGCTGGTGGGCCTCATGAGATGGAGAATGTGAAAGTCTCTCTGCCCCAGGCAGTTGCTTGAACGAGTAATGTGGATGTGCAGGATGAGCATGGAGCTGCCTAGTATCTTATCAGTGAGCAGAGTAGTACTGGCTCAGCTGTAGGTGAGGAGAGGTTTGGGGAGTGCTCAGCTTTATGTAAGAAGCATTGGGCTTTTCCCAGCTAAGGAGAATAAAAGCTTCACTTGGGATGAGTGAAGCTCTGGCTTTTAATACCTGCCTCTGGCTGCCTTGATCTTTCATAGATGGAGCAGAGACTGGTAGATGAGAGGACTTGTTTGTGTCCTCACTGTAATCTGTATGCTGGGAATGCTAAGCTAGGAGTCAGTGTCTTTTGCAGGCTCTGGAGAAGCTGTCGCTGACCTTTCAGGTCCTGTAGCAATAACCTTTGACACAAACCCTTATTCTCTCAGCTGGCAGCTGCCCTATTTTTCTAGGGTCTCTCTCCCTGGATGTCTAGGAGAATGCAGAGAGACTGCAACTTGTGTGCCCAGTGTTCCTGCATCCCCTGTTCTGTGCTGCAAGCAACATGGATGCGTATTTCTCACTTGTAAGAAACCAAAGCAATAAAGACTCTTCCACTCCTAGTCCTGTGTGGTTTCTCACTCTCACTGCATAATTTCTAGGCAAGGCTTTTTTCCCCCTCTCTCTGCTTTCTAAAACTGTCTAATGGGCAGGGAGAGACTGTGCATGCCTCAATCCCTGCTCCTGAGAAGGTACTCTTCTGGTTCCTGGTGGGGAGTGTGCTGCTTGATGTTGCCTCTCTGGAAGCCTTGCTGGAGCTGTGCTTTTCCTGGTAAGAGCCTAAGGCTTGCTTTCCAGAACAGATGCAAGGCTGGAGATAACCCAGTGTGCTCAGCCCTGTGTGGCAGCAGGGATGAACAGACAGTGTCTCAGATGTTGATGGTCCTGCCCTCAAGTGGTGGTGGTCATTTTGGTGGAGTCCAAAATGACCTGCTTGTACCTCTGTGCTGTGAGCATCTTGAGGTGCAAGACTGAGGTCTCTGCCTGACTCCAAAAACCCTCATCCCCTTAAGTGTGTGAGTTCTGTGGTGTCTGTCAGCATGGCTGTGCAGGACTGAGCTGTAGGATGTCTAGGGCTGGCTGCTACCACTGGCTGTCACCACTGCTGTGGTGACAACTGCAGAGCCTGGTCTTGCTTCCCAGGAAGCTGTCAGAACTCAGAGCAACCTACAGCTGTGGGGGGAGAGCTTCCCAAGCTCTGCATTTACAAGGTCAGCTCCTGAGGCTGGGTCAGCAAGACTGTCCTGCTCTCAGGCCTTTGACAGGGCATGTTATTATAACACATGTGGTGTGTCTGTCCCAAATGCATCCCCCTGCTCTGCCCCACCCCCTCCTCCCCAAATTGCTCACAAATAACTTGTTTTGCCTTAAAGTGTCTGGAACCTGTCACCGGCTGCTGCAGCTCGATCCTGTTCCTGACACAGTCTGGCTTCACTCCCTGGGAGCCTCCTAGGCAGAGGAGCCCTCTGCTAGGTTCTAGTTGCTAGGTTCTGCTGAGCTTTGTTCTGCAGCAGCCTTGTGGGAGAAGGGGGTGCTCAGGGTTGACCTGTGGGGCAGCCATGTTGAACCAGGATCTGGAGCATGTGTTAAGGAACCATTTAGCTCCTTGTCCTTGGTGATGGTGGGATCTCACCACTGCCCATCCACTCCAGCCTGTCCTCTGTGGTCCCAGAGGAGGGATTCTGGGGCACTTGCACTTGCTGTTTTGAGAAGGGAGGCACATAAGGAGCAGAGAGCTCCCAAGCAGTGCTGTGTGCTGCTGCAGAGAGCCCTGGGCTCTGTGTCAGGAAGTAATTGAAGTAATTAGCTGCCAGGGAGGACTCATCCATTAACTCCTCTAAGGGAGTGAGCTGGTAATTACTGCAGAAAGATTACCTACATCTCCAAACTGCTGGAGGCTGGAGATAGCTGCTTTCAGCAGCAGTGGTGGTTGTGGCAGCAGCTGTGAAAATGGATGGAAGACCCCCAGCCAGAGTGTTCCCCACCATGCCTGAGCCAAGGGAAGCAGCAGGCAGGGTGGGTTTTCTGATAGTGGGTGGTGCCAACATGGGTCCTATTTGGATGGGCATGAGGCTGGGGCAGACTGTGCCTGACAGCAGTGCTGGGGCATCCATCAGCATGGCACAGCACAAGGGATGGTGGTCAGGTGCTGCTGGGGGCAGGTGGGCATCAGGAGAGCCTAGAGGAAGCCTTTGTGGTGTGGCCTGCTGTTCTGCAGGGTGAAGGAATGGCTTCTGCTCCACATCACCCAACTCTCCCTGAACTGGGAGTGCTGCATGCATCACACCTGGCCAGTTCAGGATGAACTTCTGGGTACTGGGCTCCATAGCCCTTTGCAAGACAATTTTTAGAAGCCCTGATGAAGAGATCTAGGTGTAATATTTTCCTTGTCCTTAGCTGGATGGCCCTGGGTGGGGCATGGTAGGGAAAATAACACTCATTTCCCTCCCTGTGCCGTCATGGCAGCAGGCCATGTTGGATCACTGCCAGCTGGCACCACCTGAATGGTGAGTGCTTGTTCATTATTGATGTCGTTTGTGGCTGAGCAGAGTTTAAATGGGGGGAAATTGTAGCACTTGATTGGTAAATGCCATGCTGCTATCACACTGGGCTGGTGCTGGGAGGTGAGTTTGAGGCAGGTTCTGCTGCTCTGCATCACACTGCCAGGCACCGGATGGTGAATCTCTCCCTTTGCACCTGGGCAGTGAGATTTAGCTCAAGTGTCACCTAAACTCCTTCACAGACAGGTGCTTATAAATACTGGCCCCAGAAAAGATGAAAATTAAAAGGTGACTGAAAAGCAGAAGCTGGGGGGCTGCAAAGCACACAGGGACCAGCCTTTCGCTTACATGTAATTTAGGGCTCTCCTTTGCACTGCCCCTAAGGCATCTCAGTTGCATCTGTGGGAGGAGTGTGGAAGGTGGGCAGTGCAGTGCAGCAGAGCCTGCCCAGGTGCTGTGGGAATAGTTGGTTATGCCCAAGCAAAGCTTTGGGACATTTAGCTGATACATGTTAGCACAAGCACAGCTTTGCCTCCAGATTTTGCACAGGCAGCTCGTTTGTTGGTGCAAAGAGCAATAGTGTTGGTCCTAAAAGCACATCAAGGTGGTAGAAGGGTTGCGTTTCACAGGATAGTGAAATGTGCTTTCCTGGGATCATCAGAGTAGACAAGTAGCAGCAGCAGGAAGATAGAGAAGCCAGAGCCACCATTCAAAACTGCTCACATGCTGACAAGCAGAGCAGCAATTCATTATCAATAATATCTGTGTGGGGAGGAGAAAAAAAGGATGAGAGGAAAAAAAGGGATCATTTTTATCAGTCCCCTGCATAATTCCATCCATAGGTCCAGACTACAGGCAACTAGTGCTGCCAAGCCAATTGAGTTGTTCCAACAGAATCTTTTACCTCCTGTGCCCCAGGGGTATTTGTGGGGAGCCATTTGTCTGTGTTGCAGCAAGTTATGCCAGCCACTGCCAGGTCCTGTTCCCTGTTCTACCACCTGCTCTGCCTCCTTTCCATTAAAATTCATCTCATGTGCTGTGACTGAAAATGTCTTCTGGAGTCCAGCTGTGGCCCGTCACTGCCCTGCCATTATGCTCCATGAATATTTTTTTACTGAGCCAATTACCCAAACATCAGATCTGCCTTTTTCATGTTAGAGCAATGGCTCAGGCCTTTCTCTGGTTGCTGCCAGCTGAGGACCTCCCTGCCTGCTGCAGCAATTCCTGCTGGCAACACCTCATTGCATTTCCCTGCATTTCATCCCATCTCCATCACTCCTGCCTTCAAGGTAGCCCAGTTTCTCTACTCTTCTGTATTTCAAAACCCTCCTAATTTGTCTCATTAGCAAATGACACTCTTTCCTATGCCAGCTTGCTAGTGAAATTATGGAAGATCAATCCTCATATAGATGCTCAAGGATCTTGCCCTCCAGCCCAACAGATCTTCTAAAATATCAACAGCAAATTAATATCTGTCTTAGCTTTCTTGGAGCAGCCCCTACCTGACAACTCTTGGTGTGGTTCAATCCCAGCAGTTTGGCCAAGTTCCAGATGCAGTGTTCCCAGCCTTTCCTCTTCTAGAAAACAAGTATGCTGATGTGTAAGGCTATTTTAGCACAGCCAACCTCTGGAAAATACTGCAGTTTTGGAGAAAGCAATCAGGTATGAAAGCACTTTAGGAAGGAAACTTTCCTTTTTCTAGCCTAATAGTCCCAAGAGTTTGGTGCCCATGCCTAGATTTTGATATACTATTTTGAGGATGCCATTTCAGCAGATACTGCACTTACATTTGCATTTCATTTCTCTTCCCCTGGCATCTTCCTTTACTTATCTCCCCATCCCTTTTCCATCACTTCAGTAACTGTAGTGCTGGGAAAGGTAGGAGAGTTGTGGCAGGATGGACACACACTCCTGCCAAACTCAGGTGCTTGAGAATAAAGTTATGTCTTCAGACACTTCCATAACTGGGTGAGTTTGGGCAGGAGCCTGCCTGGGTGGCTGGAAGGGCCCCTTGCCCACTGGGCTGTCCCTCAGCTCTCTGTGCCAGGAGAAGGCAGCACTCTGCACTCTGACTTCTGTGAGAAACTGGGATTGATCCTGCCTGGCATTTCGATTAAGCAACAAGATTTATTTAAAAATGAAGTCAGCAAATACTGAAAGGGTTAAAAACCAGTTAAGTAGACAGTGAGAATATTTAAATTGCATCTTCAACATACACCTACTAAGGGAATTTGTGGTCCATCTGCAAAGACCTTCTTGCTTCTGAGATCCAGCCCAGACATCAACTAGAGGAAAACCAGGGTCAGCTCAGACGAGCAGCACGCCTGCAGGCATGGTCCCCAGATGTCCCTGTGCCTGGACACCACCAGGACACGGAGTGGAACACTGGAGAGGGGGCTGTATTGGGTACAGTCCCTGGGCACCACAAGGGATAGATGAGCAGTGGAGGTGGTGCCAACACCCTCCTGTGTCACCCTCACGAACCAAGCCCCTCCAGAGGCATCACAGCAAGCCCTGTCACTCACCAGTGACCACGGAGACCATGCCTTGTCCTCAGCAAGGTGTCCCCACCTAGTGCTCTGTCCCCTCTTGACAGCACTTGTCCTCTTGCCCCACGGGGACAGCTTGACCCCAGCAGTGTGTTCTGGCATGTGTGGCTGCTGGAGTCTGTGCGAGAGTGAGCTGGTGCCTGCGTGTGTGGTGAGAGCAGAGGAAATGAAGCTCCTGATTTCCCAGCAGCTGATGCCTGCCTGAGCAATAGCTCCTAATTGGCTTCTCTCTGCAAAAATCCTCTCCCACTAGCCCCAGGAGAGATGGCATTGCCACAGGCTGTGCCTCCCCATACTCTCTCCACTGCAGGCTGTTTTTGGGGAGCAAAGAGGAAAAGATAACCTGGGTGAAGAGATGCACTGCTACATGATTTTTAAAGTTGTTTTTGTTTTTTTGGTTTTTTTTTTTTTTGACAGAAATAAAAATTTGTCCTGTCTCAGATAATTAGCTATTTCCTTACTGGATTACTGTGAAGGGAAAACACTCGCTGTGCTATTAAGTGAGCCAAAGGACTCACTCTGCTTTTATTTCCCCATGTCTCTTTTCTCACCATCCTCCAGATGAGAGATGGGGGTGAAATAAAGGCATTTCTGCATGGTTGCAATCCCACTCCCCTGATGGGTGCTGGTGAGAAGGTGGTTTTGCCTCTGCAAGGGGCTTGTCCTCCCAGGGAGTGAGGGTGCTGGGAGTGCAGCAGGAAGGACACCCCATATCCTGCTCTGGTAGTTTCCACATCACCCACCTTGGGGCTGACCCCAAGGAGGGCCAGGTTGGCTGGGGGTGTGTGGGAGGACCAGTGTCCTAGTGATCCTGTTGGCTGGGGACAGTGTCCCACAGGGGTTCTGATTCCCCCATAAACCACACCAGCTTTTTTCCCCTTCACCATCCTCTCAGCTCATCCCTGTGGGAAGAGGAGTGAGATCCAGCATGGCCCCATTCCAGCATCCCCCGTCAGTATTTCCCAGCTCCTATTTGTAGCCAGTGAGACTGTTTTGGCACACCACAGCACTTGCCGAGGGGTGAGCAGTGGCAGCAGAGCAGGCGACGGCTCAGATGTATCGATCGCTCGGATCTGTGCTGAGGAGCAGCTCCTTTCCTCAGCAGCTTTCTTCCTGGCTGCATCCCAGAAGGAGGTAGGATTCAAAGGCCACCCCCGCCCTTGGTACAGGCTTCATCCACCCTGTCCTTAGCTGCTTCTGAAGAGAAAGGCCCGCAGGAAGTGCTCACCTTGATGCTGTGGAGGTTAAAAAAGAAGCTCAAGCTGGAAGACAATGTGTTTTCTGCTGCCGTGAAAAGAAACCAAATCCCAATATACCTCAGACAGTGCTGCTCTGAGCTCCTGGCTGAGCAAGGAGCATCTTCAAGGCAGGGGAGGGATGGAGGGGATATTCAACCAGTCCAGGGAGTGGGGCTGACTTGGTCCCCAAGTTCTTGTCCTCACAGCAAGGAGGGCATCTGGGACACCTGGTCATGGCACTTCTGGCAACCCAAAGGCCACAGAGGGTGTGAAACGAGAGAGGGGTGTTTGTGCACAGATTTGGGGAAGGGGGCAGGGAATGGGCTTTCTGGTGACTGTCCGTGTCTGTCACTCGGTGTCACTGGCTTAGGATGAAGGTTGGTACTGGTGGGGCAGCTGAGCCAGGGCACGGGCATTTGGGGAGCAGTGGGGAGGAGGGTGATGGTACAGGGTTGCTGAGGCCAGGGGGTTGAAAGACCTGTGCTGAGGGTGCCAGTCAGTACCTGTGTTCACAGGGACAGGCACCTGCAGCCACCTGGTGCAGAACTTGGTTACAAACAGATGTCCCAGTCATGAATGGAGAAGAAGGACTTTTCTGCTATGTCCTGGAACTCTTCAGTACCACCTGTGGTTATTTTTAAGAAAGCTCTGGGATGGAGAGAAGGACTGCAGGTTGTGATTATAGAACATCACTGTTTCACCAACCCTCCTCCACCCCCATCTCAGAGACCCCAAAGTCTCCCTCATCAGCCACCAAAGATCTCACTTTGTCACCGCCCCTCTACACAGACAAAGACATCTTTGCACTTTCTGCCCTTCACATCACCTCCCACAGCAGTGACCTGCCAGGCTCCCTCCATTCCTTCTCCTTTCTGGGCCAGACATGTTGCCAGGCCAGAACTTGAGGCTATTCCTCTCCCCCAAATTTCTGAGTATCCCTTTAGGGGTCTGGGCCATGCTGCTGAGCTGAGGGTCCTGGCTGGGAGAGGGACCCCTTCTCTGGCAGGATGGGAGGAAGGCGGGGTGAAGAGTCACTTCTTCCACACCCACTGTAGTTTAGTTATTTTATTTTTTTTAAGCTCAGTCAAGTTTCTGGAGCTTGAACCTTCCCTGACTGCTGTGTCTTGTTGCCTTTTTGCTTCCTTCCCTTCTGCTTAGGCAGCTACAGCAGACGCTGTGAATCTATAATAAGTTATTCAGCAGTGATCATGCTCTTCCTTGGATTTAAATTTCCACATGTTTCCCTTCAGGCTGTTTCCAACTAATTTCTGCATTTGCATAATGCCCCCCTTAGGGATGCTCTGGCACAGCCCCTTCTCCCCCGCTTTGACAAGTTCATCAGAGATTCAGGCTATTAGCAGAAAAGACTCTAATTCTGTTGGCCCTTTAGCCCGCTCCTTCCCCACGCAGCTCAAATTAAAAAAAGACAAAGAAGCAGTTTGGGGTTCAGAGGGATGGAATGCTCATGGGAAGTGGGCTGAAAATGGCTGGACCCCCCACCCTTGGAAGCCTCTGGAGGGAACCAGCTGGAAGAATTACAAATTCAGAAGCAAATGCTGTATCTTATTGTAGATTCTGGTCTGGCAGCCCAAATCATTTTGTCTCGACCAGAATCAGCAGGGACCCCCACCCCTGCTGATTCTGGGGTACTTGAAGGGGAGAGATGAGGAGGGCTTTAGCCGGGACAGCACTGAGCTGGGGGTGGTGGGGCTGGTCACCCCTGCTGCAGATGCACCCACAGACATCCCCTCTCCTGAAATAATGCTCTTGCTTGGTTATTTGGAGGGATGGATATCCAGGAAGGCTGAGCACATGCAGGAGAGGGGAATTAAAACCATCACATGGGTGCCAGGTGATTCTGCCCCTTATTACTCTTCTCTAAGGCCACCTTATCTCTTTTGGACATGCCAGCCCTTCCCTGCAAATTCTGCCTCTCTGTCTGCCATCAGAAGAAAGAAATCTCCTTATTTCCTCCTGTTGTTTGTATTTTTCTGCCCCTCTTCAAGCAGATTTTATGCTTCTACTACACACAGATGCTCCAGTCTTTCTCCCTAATTCTTGTCCAACTACACAGGGGAAAAAAAGCTTACACCACCATTCTGCTCTCGGTGGTATTTGCCCACTGTGATCTGCATTGAAATACACCTCCCTCCAAGATACCCAGACACCAGCTAGATTATAACTTCCTTCAGGAACAGCATAAACATCTCAGGTTTAAGTGAGTGCGGCATTCTTGTGAAGCTCACCTCTTTGACAGCCAGCTCCACATTATTATAAACAGACTCTTTTCTCCTGCTTTTTTTATTAGTTCTTCCATGTTAAAAAACATAATGGGAACTTTCAGACCAACTTCTGTACAGGTCTCTGATGCACTTCTCTCTTTTATGGCTCAAGTACAATGGCAATCGCAGACATTAACATGCTTCTTTAGGATGAAATGTACATTTGAATGGCACCCAGCTGGAGGAACATGCTGCCTCTCTTGCAAAGCTGGCTGCAGCCTGCCCAGAAACTCTGGGAAGGGGATGAGGGATGCCCAGAGTCTGCCTGCAGTCTCCTGCACATGGGGACAAGAGGCAACAGGAGAGCCAGAGAGAGGAGGGATGGTCAAAGGTGGATGCTGGAGAGTAAGGGGCAAGGCATGGCTTCTTAACGCCAGCCCTTTGGGGCAACCATTGCCTTCATACCCATTTCTGAAGCATTTAATGTGTTGCTGACAATATACAAATAAGCAAAAGTAAGATGTATGGGCCAGGGTGGGGGTGCTTGGTATTTCCTTGTTACCAGAGACTTTTGGATGGATGGAGATACCTCTCTCCAAGGCATGGGAAGGAGTGTGTTGAGGTCACCCTGTGTCTCAGGCTCCTTCCACACCTCTTCCTTCTCTGGATCTCATTCCCCTCACAAGCAGAACTCCCACCCCAGATTCTGCAGGTTTTGTCATCCTTTTCTTTCCATTTCTCTTCGTGTGCAGGGCCCTGACCTAGCACTAGGAGTGGAACCTTTCAAGGCCAGCACCCCTCCCAGGACACTTCTTAGATAGAGATTTCCATTAAAAAACTTTTGAGGGCCCAGCACTCTGGGACAGCAACCTTATGAGGGCTCTGACTTGGGATCACCATAGCAGTCACTATTAACACAGAGAAAACCTTGCTGTCTCTACCAGCTTGCACCAACAATGGGAGAGATGGTGTGCAACCACCAGCCTGCCTTCCTCCTGCTTCTGATCTGGGATAGACCAGGAACTGGGATGTTCTGCTGTGGATTGGGGGTCTGTCTGCCGATGGATGCAGAGAGCATGCCTGTTGGTCTTGTCCGTGCTCTGTCCTCCTACTTCACTGCAGCTGAGGGGTCAGGCCACCCCACGGCACTGAAGTGAGAATGTTGTCCCCATCACAGGACTCTGGAGACCCCAGCAGGACTCCCAGAAGAAGCAGCAGTCATTCCCTGGCACCATACTCCCTCTTCTTCCTGTGTGTACCCTTCATGGGCCAAGCCTGGGCAAGTGATGGATCTCCCAGCTGCGGGGCTGAGAAGGGAAGCTGTAGCCCCAGACTGGGGTGGTTGCACCAGCCCAGCAGCAGCGCATGGTTTCCCTCCTGCACATCTTCCACCAGGCAAATGTGCTCCTCCTTGTCCCAGCAGCCAGGCTGGTGCTCAATTCCCTGTTGTTAGATGGTCACACACCACAAGTTCAGGGAGAACAGGGGTCTACTGTTTGTCTGAAAGAGGAAGAAACCTGCACAGGACATCCATGCTGGGGCCCTGCTGTGCAAGCAGCCCTCGCAGGCGCTGGTGCTCGGTGCTCTGCAGGAAAGCTCAGTCCCAGAAGGGTCAGCGGCCAGGGATGGCAGTGACATGCAGGTGGCAGCTACACGTGGCTGCCTTTCGAGAGATAAGCAATCAGTGCTACCACCACCCCGATGTACACTCCTGTGCCAATGGTTATGGAGAGCGCGGCAAGGAAGAGAGCTCGGCGGGAAGCTGAACTGGCCAGATGAAAATCTCCTTTGGAGACAGCCTTGCTGGTCTGGAAGGAGAAGAAATGCTTGTTGCTCACAGCTGTACCAACCTGGCCTTTAACCAGCATGCAGTTGTTTCATTACTGAGTCAGTGTTTCTTGTCTGGCCACTGCACCCCTTGGAGGCTGGGATCAGACAGCAAGGTGTCTGTCAGTCTGGGAGGGCTCAGAGCAGCAGTGCCACCTGCACACATTTCCCTGTGGATTTCGCCTCCAGGGGAAGCATGGGCTTCAGCTACTTGTCTGAAAGAACCATCAGGGTACACAGCCAGAGCTGTGAGTGGGTGGCTGGACTCTTGTAAGACCTCAGAGCATAGGATGATGGCTGATACCAGTGCACCCTATAGAGAGATGTAACGAGAACTGCCTAGGCTCAGGGAGCTGACTCTTGATGGCATGGTCTGTTGGTCCAGCTGTGCTGCCACTGATTTTTCCTGCATGGGGTTTTCAGCTGAAGCCCATTTGCTGTTGAAGGGCTGATGAAACCAGCAGTGGAGACACATCCTTATCTCTCTGGAAAAGGACGGTGACTTCCATCTTCTCTGAGTGCTCAGGGCATATTCCAATATGCTCTTTTTACCTACTACTTGAGTTCAAGTTGCTGGGTGGGCATCAATGCACTCAATGTGCAAAGACACCAAAACAGATATGGTCCTTGCCTCAGTGAGTGAACAAAGGGGGTAGTTATAGAAAACGGAGCTAGATATAAAATGCCCCACCTGCATCACCACATGGAGAGTGCACTGTGCTATCTTGCATTACGTGGAAAAATGTGAAATCAACTGCTCCTTGGGGTCCTAATCAATTAATGCCTCCCCTGCCTCTCACCAACTCTGTGCCAGGAACTCATGTAATATATTTTTCCACTTCTGTTCCTATCCTCTTGATTTGACTTCTTAATGCCTCCTCCCATCTATTCTTGGTACAGCAGCATTTGTGCAAATGTGGAGTAAATCCTCTGGCTCTGCATGAGTTATTCTGGGTCAACAGCAATGTAAGTGAGCCCAGGCTCCAGGCTAAGTCCTCAGGGATGCAGCAGTTCCTGTGAGCTGCTGCACCCTGAGGGCCATTGCCTCTCCAGCCTCTGCCAGCCTGGCATTGGCTCCCACAGGTCAGCCGATGTGCATCAGAAACAAGTGCAAGAGAGGAGCTGTAGTGTGATATGGACACCAAGCTCTCCTTTGCCTCCAGCCTCCGGGGCAGCCTGGCTCCTGTGGAATGAGCTGCCTCAGTCTGGGTCATGGTGTAGAATCTTCACATTACTGGAGAATGGGAGGACAAGTGGGAAAATGCCATTTTCCTGAACCTGGCTGGAGGGTGAGAAGGTGGGCAAGGCCAAGAGGAGCCCCAGTTCCCTAAATAACAGCCAGAAAACCCAAAGGAGAAGCCTGACCTCCAGTAACCCACACCAGAACTGGAGGGGTTCCAACTCCATAACAATTGTGGAGACATCCAGGAACACCCTTCATCTCAACCCTCAGAGTTATGGCCATGCACAGAGATGAACCTTAGATTCAGAAAGGTGCTGGTCACCTCCATGGGCCGCTGAGGCTTTCAGGGCCCTTGCTGTAGCACTTGGCACATGCAGGCAAGCAAAGGGACTCCTTACCCCTTGGGAGAAGTAGAAGGCAGCAATCCCCAGGGGCCAGAAGCAGCACAGCATGGAGAAAAGGGCCAAGCCCAAGTGGTCCCGGGGGGGAAGCATCAGGAAATGATCCTCGCTTTCGCTGTCGCTGGAGGAGTCGCTCTGCAAAACCAGATGGATTCAGCACATGCCCACCCCCCCGTGCCACTCCGCAGGCTGCATCTCAGCACCTCGCCTCCCAGCTCCCACTCTCTCCTGATCCCGTCACATGTTCTCATACAATTCCCATTGGCAAATTCAAGGAGTAAATTTCAAAAATATTTTAGACTCTTCAGCATTACTTGATGAGGAACAACGTAGCTCAGCAAATTGGATTCTCGGCTCCCTGCCAGTGCAAATGCTGGGGGTCTGGGATTTCCCTGCATTAGAGAGAGTCTTAAACTGAAATATCTTCAGCTTTGGCAGAACTGACTGTTTGTCAGCTTAAACAAACTTAAACAGAGTGACTTATCCCCATTAGAGTCTAGGAGATCAATATCTTGCTAAACTAATTTAGGAAGTGAGGGAAAGCATTTGAAGTGGAGCCTCCATTGCAGGGGCAGCATGCCCTGTCCCCTTAGTGAGTCACTGCTCAGTGGCTGTGGTGAGCCCTCTTGCCCTTGGGCACGGCTGGGCCAGCCTCAGACCACCCTGCAGGTGATGTGTCTTGGTGGGGAAGGGACACAGAAGTGGGGACATCCCTGCTGCTATCTGAACAGGCTATGTCACCCACACCAAAAGAAGCAGAGCTGTGCTGGGTCATCAGGCATCAGCTCCAGTGAGCTCTGGGACCCTCTCCCACCTCTCAAGATCCTGGATGATGTTTCCCAGCCTTGGCACCACTGTTCAAGCACAGCACAGCAATGAGGCTGCTTTGTCAGCTCTCATTCTTCCTGTGCAGGATTCATCCTGTCTTTTTATATATATAAAGCTTTCTCTCAGCTGCTGCCATCACGCATGTGAATTTTGCTGTTATGCAAGATTGCTGTTTCTCTTTAGCTCTAGTGCCACAGCAGCGACAGGCTGCCCTTCTCAAAGCATTCCCATTTCCCAAGGGTCCTGCAGAGACCCACCTCCCTTTTGCTCCCAGCAGCAGGCAGCCAGGCTGCTCTTAGGGAAGCTGACTTCCTTCTGAGGTCAGCAGTGAGGAAAAAGGAGCAGAAATGATAAGGAGAAAGAAGAAATACTGGGTGCACAGGGAGGCTGGTGAGGCAGGAATGGTAGGACTTGGGGGGGAGTTCTGGGTAAAGAAGGGAGAATAAATTATCAAGAATTTGAGCCGATGTCCAGAAAGAATGACCGCAGGAGTTTAGTGCTATCCTACCTGTCCAAGCTCACCTCATACTCCTGGAGCTCCTCTTCCTCCACCTCATAGGAAACAGTTTGGATACGGATGTCACTCTCTACCAGGCAGGACCCTTGTGCCTCTTGCCCTTCAGGAGCTTCAGATGGTGACTCTTTGCTTTCCGTAAAAGTGGTCTCACAGCTTTCCATCTTGCTGTCCTTGGCCTTGAGAGCAGTCTCATCCTTCACAAGGATGAAACTGGGGCCGTACAAAGCTTCAACAGCCAGCTGCAGGGAACTGGCATCCAGCAGCTGGTGAGTCCTGGCACCACCAGTGTTTTGGAATATGTAGGAATACAGTTTCCCCTGGCAGCGGTGGCTGGGGTAGTCCTGGCTGTGGTGCTGGTGGTAAGAATAGCTGCTGCGAAGGTGGCCATTGGATTTGGCCAAGAGCGGGTTCTGGAGCTCCTGCATGCTTTCCATGCTGCCCGTGGTGGTGGTGGTGGGGAGATCCTGCAGGAGCAGAGGGGGTGGGAGGGAGTAGGCTGTTAGTTCAGCAGGCAAGGGAGCAGGAAAGCACAGCCAATGTCAAGAGGCTAGTGGGAACAGAAAAATTTGGCAATCCTGGAGAAAACAAGACCCCTCCCCACCTCTGCACAGCTTGAATGTTATCTCCCCAGGCGGTAGCAAGGTAAGGATGCAACCCTGCAGTAAGGTTATCTGATTCAGGCTGGATTAACATGAGGGCTTGCTGTATCTGTAATGCATCTTAAGTTGGTCATGTACAGCCTGACAGGAAAGGACCTTCTGCATCTTTTCTGCTGGTTCATAATGAGTGCTGTGACAAAAACTGACGGCACAGAAATAGATAAGAGACTGACAGTCATTCAAGGAGCCTCCCTGACTTCCCAAAGTAGAGGGTTGCATGGTGAATTATATCCCACTGGACATTACACATACACCTAGCTGGCTTTCAGGTGCATAGGAAATTCTCTAGGACTCATCCAAGCCTGAACTGGGGCTGAGGCAAATGCAGTGAGCCACCAAGGGAAGCCAGGGGGCTGCTGTGAGGACATGGAGGTGTGTTTAGGGTGGGGTGGGAGTGTTGGATGCTCAGCCAGCTGTGAGGAGGAACAGAAAGATGTGGAGATTAAAGGGAAGGCTCCATGGGGTTTGGTCCACTTTGAAATGATGAAATTTTAAGTAAATGATCCATCACATCAAAGTGCTGTTTAAACCAGCTCCACCCCTGGGTACAGCGGCAGCCAGACAGCCTTGGCTCTGGGCCACCTGCTTCAGAAAATGCTGAGTCCAGAGGAGATCCTCAGCTACAAATGTCAACATGGGTTTCTTCCTCAGGGAAATTCACCTCCCTCTCCCTTCCTCCATTTTAGAGTGAAGGCACAAGCTGAAGGCTTGTACTGCTCTCATTTTTTTTTTTTTCCCATGAAAATTTTTGAGATGAAATATTTCCCCCCGCCCCCCTTCCTTCAGAGGAGCACTTACTATTTTGGCTTCCCAACCCACCTTGGAACAAAGAAAAAGTACAGTGAAATATCAGCATTCTCAGGAGAGAGAAACAATTACTTTGCCCTCTTCACTACCTGAGCCCCAGGTTTTACAGTCTCTTTAATATTTTCTCAGCTCCCAGACCATGCCACCTTATTGCCTTGCAACCTCAAATGTTCTTGGTCTCCTTAGAGACCTGGATCACTGACTCCTCTGCAGGATGCTGTGCAGCAGGGTTACACTTCCTCCTGCTGTGACAATCCCTGAGATGCACTAGGTTTTCTGATAGACAGCACATCACCTTGGCTTTAAATCTCAAGAAGGAAATATAAATAGTCAAACTGAAGACTTTAGAAACTGAAAAGCCCAAGTGGTCCTGTTTCCTTGGCCAAACTCCACCACATCATGCAAATGGAGAGCCGTGCATGGTTTTTAATGGGCCTGTCCATTGGCTTTGTTTGGGCAGTGGTCATCACATTTTGGAAATCTGCTCAGGAAAATGGAGCTGTTCAAAAGCCCTCTCATGCTGCTAAAACACTGCGCATTTTGGTGAATGCCCTTCACTTCTCCCTTCCCAAAACCATTCCCTGTCTTCCACAGTCTCCCACATTACTCATAAAGCTGGTAGTGGCTTGTGCAGCAGATGGCCATTAAGTATTTTCAAAATATTTAAGGCAGATGAATATTTATAGCAAAGATGGCTTTATTTTCTGCACAGACACAGAGAAGCTCAAAGGTACAACCCAGTTTTCAGGCAAGGAAACCACAATCCTCTTCTTTGCTTACCTTAACATGCAAATTAGATTTCTAACAAAATAACCTATTTTTTAACAAAACCATAAGGAGAGACCAGTCACCAAGTGCCATTTGAGAGCAGCAGCCAAAGCAGGAGCTAGAGAGAGAAAATTGACAGTTTTAGTACAGCATCCACGCCTTATTTCAAGGAATGCTTCTGGCAGCAAGCTAGGGTAGGAAGGAATGGGATCTTGCTGAGAACTGCTGAAGGGAGTCAGTTCCAAATGTGTTGAGAAACACCAGCAGGCAGACCACGGGCAGGCTGCTGGCCACTGGCACCAGGTGCTGCCTGAGTGGAAGTTGTCGTGCTTCTCACTTTGGCTCCTCAGCAACAGGTTGGAGAAGGAGCAGAGCTGCACAGAAAAAACATAAGTTCACAGCAGCAAGCGCTGGGAAACAGAGAGTGGGAGGGGGAAAGAAGGGAAAGGAGCTGGGAGGAATTGGAAACCTAAAAGGCAGTTTGGGAGGTGCCAGGGAGGCAGTGTGGCAAGAGTGCATCTGTGCAGCTGGACTGCTGCTGGACATGGACTCTGTTGAGTCCCAAAGGATGCTAGAAAGGCTAGTGGGAGATGTCTCACTGACCTGGGCTGTGAGGAAGAGACAGTGAGGGCTTGCAGGCAGCAAACATCCTAGGGTGAACATACCTTGGAAAAGTAACAGTGTGGGTATCAAAAGAAATCACAGGAAAAAACTCCTGAAGTATGAGGAAGTCTGCGAATGTGGGCTGGGCAGGGCTGAGGCTTCATCCCAGGGAAGGCAGGTGAGCTCAAACCTTTCTGAGCCCTCAAACTGTCCTGGAGCTGTCCTTAGAGCAGAGCCAGGATCTTGGAGCTGCTGCACAAAGCACGGACAGGGCAGGGCTACAGCTAGAAGGATTTAGCCTGTACTAGTCCTGTACCCTCTGGAATTAAAAAATATTTACCTGTACTAAAGTCTCTTTTCCTTGCTGCCTTCCACTCTTGGGAGTTGAGGCTCATGCTCTCCCTGGGAGACTGCAGGGACAAGGGGAAAAGTGCAGAAGAAAATCTCACAGTGCTTCTGATAAATAAGCAAAGGAGCCACAAACTGCAGCCTTCATGCCCAGTCCTGGCATTTGTCAGCAGTGGGGAGGGAACAATGAGGGCCAGTGTGACAACATGCTTGCAGCAGTGTGCTCAGCCCTGCTGGAAAGCAGCCAGGCTGAAACTTTCCTCTCCAGTAAGGGTGAAGGTGTGAAAGTATTCCAGTACCAGAGGGATTAGAGATGCTTCCCTCAGTCTCCTCAGTCAACAAGATCAGCACATCACACAGAAGCTGTGTACCAAATGGTCTGGGTTTGCAGGTGAAGACAAGGGCCATCAAGCCCCTGGAGATGACATTAGAGAGGGAATGGCAAAGAGGGTGAGGACCAGCCCTGCATGCACATGTGCAGGGAAGGACAGAGTCAGACCAGCCCTGCAGTTGTACCCAGTCCCCATTTGGGTTATCTGAATCCTACAGGACTTAAAATCTGAATCACACAGGGACTTAAAAAGGGAAGCCTAGTAATAAAATAAGCCTGGTGATAAAGAAAGCCTGTTAATAACCAAGCTTGGGGAAAGAGAAATTAAGTCAGAAGATGAAAGCAAGAAAGCAGTAAAAGACAAAATTGTCAAAGAGTGGCCATTCTCTGTCTTGATTACCAGCAAGACTGGATAGCATGCACATCCATCAGCCCCATGGGGCTAGTCTGGGCAGTACTGGCAGCAGGTAACTGTGGTGAGATGCTGCTAGGTGCACAGGGAGGATGCACACACACAGATGTGCTGCTAGGTGCACAGGGGGATGCACACACACTGATGTGCTGCTAGGTGCACAGAGGGACGCACACACACTGATGTGCTGCTAGGTGCACAGAGGGATGCACACACACTGATGTGCTGCTAGGTGCACGGGGAGGATGCACACACACAGATGTGCTGCTAGGTGCACAGAGAGATGCACACAGACAAGCATACACACACAGCTTGGGCACACCCTGGAGGAGGCAGACTGCAGTGCCCTAGTTGAGCTGAACCATTGCTGCAGCTCTACTGCTGCCTGACAGCTGCTGGCTCCCTACCGAGCTGCCTCCCCCTGTGCACGGCTGCTCCTGTAACCAGCTGGCTGAGCAGGCCCCCACACTCCCCAGCCTGGCTGCAGCAGTCCCCAGCAGAGTGGAAAATGCACAGCTGTGTTGTGTACTCTCAGCTTCCTAAGGCGAGTACTGGGTAAAATGAGCCAAAATAAGGCATGAAAATAAAGAGGTAGCAAATTTAGCTTTGTATTTCACAGATCTCACCTCCACACCACATCCCCTGAGGCAGCTCTCAGAGGGACCCTTGGTACAGATGCCGGCTATGATAAGCCAGCTAATCATGAATTAAGTAGCTGTTCCAGGAATCAATCATCATTTAATTGCCCTGTCAAGCAAACATTCTGCCTTGCTTCCCAGGCTCATTAGCAGGTTGTGGCTGTGGTGCATGTCCCCAGACTCCAGAGTGAGAAGGTTAGCCCACCCTGGCTGAAGGCTTTCCCCTTCAGTACAGCACCAGGGGAGGTCGGTGCTCTCAGGCATTGGTGTCCTGCTGCACTGCCATGCCCTGGCTGGTCTGAGGGCAGGGACAGTGTGAATGCCTGCTCCTGATCCAGCTGATGTTAAGCAGCACCATGGCCAGGTACAGCTGCCATAGCCCCAGGACAGATGCGGGCCCACTCCTGATGGAAGAGGAAAGCATAGGAGATTTGTCGAGCACTTGTCCCTGAGCCCAGACCTCCCTAGAAGCTCTCAGGAGACGCTTTGGCCCAGGTCCAGTCAGGACACAGTACCTCTGCCTCAGAGGATCCAAGCTTGTGATTCTGCTGAAGAGAAAACCATCTCACAAAGCAGCTGAGAAGCAAAGGCTGCTGTCATTTTGGAAAGGGGGTGAAGGAAGGACTGTGAGAGCTCGTGGACTGGCAGGTGTGAACCAAGCCCTCTCTCAGCCATAGGAGCCCATGCAGCAGCATGGATCCCTGGTATGTCTCAGCCCTGAGCACTGAAGGGTGAACCACAGCTCAAGGGGAGAAAGAAGTGCTTTCATCAGCCCCACAGACATGATTGCAGAAAGAAGTTTGGCTCCAGCCAACACTGAAGCACTCCCATGGGTGCTTGTCTGACACCACTGCTACTGGCTTGGGCACAGGACATGCATGTAGATTGAGGGACTGTTCATTCCCAGGGTGTAACAAGCCTTCACCAGTCCTGGGAAAGGTTGCTGTGGCACAAGCATCAGGTGAGGTGGCCTGGAGCTGGAGAGCTCAGAGGGGTGATGTGGGGGAGGCAGGTCTCAGTGTGGAGTAGGGAGAAAGGGTGGTGAGATATGATGGCCCCAATGGGGCTGGCAGAGATGGTACCCAGAGAAACAAAAGAGCACAGTAGGGAGAGCAGTGGGTAGGGACATGGTGGGCAAGAAGCGTGGGGCAGGGGAAGCAAAGTGACATCTGAGCCAGACAGAGAACCCTGGCCACCAACACGGAGATAAAAAGGACTGTGAAGCTGCTGGAGAGGAAAGAGTTGGTGAGGACCAGGAGGGAAGGAAGAAGGTCACACAAAGCCTGGACTTGGAATAGAGGGAGGACAGCTGAGCCATTTGTGATGCAGAGAATCTGATTCACACCTTTGATGCAGCTGGTTTGATAGAGCTGGAAAGGAGTGAATAAAATGCTTGTTCTGATCTCCTGACGGGGAAAGCCAGTACCAAAGGGTTGCTGACTCCAACAGAGACTAAATTGCTCTGAGAATTGGGATGCGATGGGCTGCTTTTCAAGGATCACAAGTCAAATTGGGCAATTTCCAGGTGGAAGCCGGGTCTTTATTGTCTCTGATAACAATGTTTCTCTGCGGCAGTGTTCTGACCCAGCTATGCTCAGAACTAAGGTGTTGCTCCTGGTGGTAGGGAGCAGCAAATCCTTCCCTGGGGCTGGCAAGGAGAAGCCTTAGAGAAGGTTTTGGAGAAGCCGTTCCAGGAGCTCTCGGGGGCTCCCACCCCTCCCTGTCCCCAGCTTTGGTGGCAGCAATCTGGACACACTGCCCGTGCGCATCACACCAACAGGGGAGCAGTGGAAACTCCATCGCCTCCAAGCAGGCACCCCCACAGCACTCAGCTTCACACCGGCCGTGCCCGCAGGCTGTGCGGCGCCGGAAGGGCGATCGTGCCTGCCGTGTCCCCCGCCTCGGCCGCGTCCGGCGCTCGCCAGGCGCCCACCAGGTGTCCCCGGCGCGCCGCGCAGCGCCCAGCGCGCCGCCCAGTCCCGCACAGCTCGAACAGCCCCGCATCCCCTGAACCCGCACCCGCACCGCCCGCACAGCCCCGCATCCCCCGCACAGCCCGCACCGCCCCGGTGGCGGGGCGCGGCCGCTCCCGACCCTCAGCGTGGCGGGGCCGGGACGGCGGCTGCGGGCAAAGCCTGGTGCGGTGCCTGCATGTCCAAATCGCTGGGGACGGCCACGGCGCCCCCACACCCCACGGCCGGCGCCGGCCCGGGGTCTGAGCTCACCCGGCTGGCCGGGGTGCGCCCCGCAGTGCCCCTCAGGAACGAGAGGTACGGGAAGGGCTCATCGAGCTGGCATGCGGGAAGAAGGAAGCATGGATCGTGATGGAAATAAAGCACATGGTGGTGTGGGTGGCTAGGTGTATAATTAGCAGGTTTGGACTCTCTCGGCATGCCATTTTTTAAGCAGGAGACGCAAACAAGTAAATAAGGCGGCTGTTGGAAGTTTCTGCAGGCTGTCCTGTGTACATGGGACCAGGGAGGAGAGCGGGCAGTGTCGGGGGGCTGCTCCTGCGGCTGGTCAGGAGCTGGAGGGCAGCAGAGTGGCCATGGGGTGCCCAGCTGAGGCACAGCAGAGTGGGTGACCTGACTGGCAGCACTGGGCCCGGGAAGTGGACCAGGACAGGATCAGGGATGGGCAAATTCTGAATGTTCCAGCAGCCACAGTGGAACAGTCCTCTCAGCCTCAGAGCACTCTTGATGGGTTTGCACCCAAACAAACAGCAGCCCTGCAGCACCCTCAACAAGAAGCCCCTGTGAGAGGCCTTAAAGGGGCACATGACACCAAACAAAGCTGACGGATTGCTCTCACCAGAGCTTCTTCACTTTCCTGTGTGGGCACCCATCAGGGTTGCTGGGAGGCAGTGAGGTCAGGGCAATGACTCCCAGGTGTGCTCGCTGCTGGGACGGTCAGCATCTCCAGCCCTTTGAGGCATTAGCCAGTGAAGGCAGTTTTGGAAGCTTTTGGGCTCTCACTTCTCATCTGAGCCAAAAATACCAGTCGAGAGTCAGAGGAGACTAATTCCCCGCCCTGCTACAGCATGTAAATCACTGTCCTGGGGAAACATGAGCTCAGACTGGGTCTGAGCTTCAACCTTCTCTTCCTCAGCTCAGGACCACCCCAAGGAATTACACTAAAACTGCTCTCTGGAGAGAGGAGCACTGGCATTCTGCCCGCAGTGTAGAAAACCTACTTAGAAAGATCCATGTATGCAGAGCTACTGAGACCCAAACTCACTGACACCTGGGCTCCAATGCCTCCAGCACAGAGGCAGCCCAACCCCTCGCCTGAGATCAGGCTCCTTGCTCAGAGTGCCCAAAGGGATAACAAGTATCCCACTGGACTGCTCACAGAGGTCCTTCAACATGTGTCTACTATCAAGACATCCTCTCTGCTGCTGGAAGATGCACAGAAGCTCTTCCCAGCAGATTGTAATTTTGCTCATGGCTGATTTTCCTCTGCTAATGACTACAGTCCTCTATTTCACATCAGGTTTTTTCCATGACTATTTATACCCAGTATTGAGCTAAACACAATGGTTATCCTAAATGGCTCCATGCTCTTCTCCAAGTAGGCACTTACCACTCTGAGAGCATCAATGCTCTATGCTGGAGCAGACCTGTGCCTCACGCTCCTCTCCAGGGCCAGCCGTGTTCCCCTTTGCCCTGCAGCCCAGCCTGGGACCATGTGCAGGTCTGCATCCCAGGGATGATCTCCCTTCAACATCCTGGCACCCAGCACAGAAGTGGTCAGGCAGATGGGACCTGGCTTTCTTCCAGGTGAGAAACTTGCACCATCCAAGACCAAAATGGGGACAGGGACATAGCACTCAAGGTGGCAGCAGTTGTTGGGGGCACAGAAAGTTCTCCCCTTCACAGCTGTGGTTTGCTGATAGGGCAGCTTAGCCACAGCACCTAATTCCATCCTCACATCTCTCTGAAAATCCCTGTCTTATCAATTGAAGCTGGCAATGTAAAGCGTCTGTTAAGGACTGCTCATTTGTCTCTGTTTAGAACATATCCATACTCAAATGATTCATTAGCACCCTGAAGGCTAGCACATGCAGCACCCTCCTTTCCCCACTGCCCTGTTTATTTTATCCTTGTCTCCCTGCCTTCAGCTCAGGGCTATTTCCACCTTGCTTACTGTGTCCTGATTCTCCTGGGGATTCACAAGACTCCTCTGTAGTTCAGATATTTAATTCATCTGCCAATGATCTGCTCTCTCGTTAAAAATGAACTTAAGTTGTGGAGATGACACTTTTCTAGCTTACTTTTCAAAACCCTAAGTTTCCAATTATCAGCAGTAAGATGATTTCCTGGTCCAGCAAATAAGTCTCCCCATCTGGCAAACATCTGCAGGCCCAGGCAAACTTCAAGGTGTTAAAATTATTACTAGGGTCAAAAAGTGAAATCCAAACCAGATGTTGAGAGTCTCTTCCATATTCCAAAATTCCATATTGCCAAAGAATACTCAGTGGAGATGTGCCTCTGAGTTTGAGGAGGGGCAGTTCACACTGGTTTACTCTATTGTCAGGAATATAATGAGAGGAAAGGCAGGAGCTGCCCCCAGCCATCCCACAACGCTTGTCCGTCCCACAATATCAGACTCCAGCATGATGCAGAGGATAGTGCTAAATTTTCTTCCATACAGTATGGAAACAAAGCTGTACAAAACAATGTCACATTTTCTTTTCCACAACCTGGTCAAGTCACCTTGCTGAGGCGCCCTCTGGACTGCTCCTTCATTTGCAGTATGGATGTTTTCCATTTTGTCCTGACCCTTTTCTCTTCCCAGCCCATGATACCACCCTCCTGGGAGAGAACTCAGCTTGCTTCTTGTACCCATCCAGCATCACAGTGTGCTGAAAGAGGCAGCTGTGCTCTGGGTGACTGGCACTGTTGGTCCTATGCTGGCTGAGGGAGTCCATTCTGCTCACGGTGTTTCCCTCCCAGCATGTTCCTGCTGGATGGGGACCCTTTTGTCCTTCCCTGCCACCATGGAAGTCATGGAGAGCAGGAAGGATTTGCAGAGAAACCCCTGCCCAGCCCAGGAGCAGCATCAGTGTGGCTGTCACACATAGCACTGAGTCTCTGATGTGCCTTGGGCCAGTTTTTCACACCAGCTGTTGAGCTTCCAGACACATAGCTTGGGGACAAATCCTGCAACCAGCTCTGGTTTTCAAAACATACCTGAAGTGTTTTACTCCAAAAGGAAGCTGGTTTAAGTGATGCACCCAAGAAACACTGGGGATCATTGCAGCCTTCCCTTCCAGGCTGAGCAAAGTGTTTGGTTTGCTGCCTTTTTCACTTGACAGAGAAACAGACAGAGAAGGACAATTTGGAGGAAACCTGTTATGGATTTTTTTTTTCCTCTCTAATGCTCTGCCTTGGCCCTTCACTCAGAAAAGCCAATAATTTCATTTGCCCATCTCCAACTCTACAAATAGAGAAATTCAGTCTAAAGATGTTGCCTGAAATTACCACCCTGAAAGCAGCAATGGAGTTGCAGCTCCTGCAAGTGGTACCTGCCAGTCACAGGCTCAGGTCCAGAACTTCAGAAACTAGGCAGAAAAAGGGGGACAGAAAGGGCAGAGCTTTGGACTACCTAGTGAATCAAAGATGGTCCTGGGAAGATGTGAGTATGTGCCAACACAAGCAGAGGGGCTGTGAGGGGGGAAGAAAACCCAAAATGGCCTGAAGTGCCCATGCCCATGCCAGGGGCCCACAGACTGCTCTGCCATAAGCTCCGGGCCAGGCAGGATTGGCCCTTTTGGGGCTTGCTTCAGGGATCTTTTAGGTGATAGAGGGAGATTTTAAGGGCCAATTTTTTTTTCTGAGTACTTGTTTACTTCTCTGCAAGTGATGGTGATGTCTGCAGGCTGGGCTGAGGGCAGGAGGGAGTTGGGTACCATGCAAAAGCTGGGGATCTGCTGTACAGATTCACCGTGCTAGAGCTGCAGCAAATTACTCATTCTTTAATAATGGTGTTTATTACCTGCCTCTGACGGTGGCTCGGGGAGACAAACTGAAGTGGATTCAACTCTCCATAGCTTTAGCTCTGCCAGCTGTTTTTATAACACAAGAAACTTTTGCCAGAGAAATGCAGTCACTGCATTTTGGCTTGGGTAATCTCTTCTCATGACAATCTACAAAGTAACCAGCAACTATCCCTCAGAGACCAAAGATATTTTTTTCTTGCGCGTGGCAGGCAGGCTCAGACCCCACTTCTCTGTTTTCCCCTGGTATTTACATAGTGCTACCTTCCTCCTGGGGGAAAGGTTTTTACTGGTGGCAGATCCAAGCTAAATGAAAGGGGAATTTATCTTTTTCAGAAGCAAAGGAAGCAGCCCAGTAAAACGGGTTTGGGAGAGCAGCATTGCTTTTGTGAAACCCGCAGCAGCTTCGGAGAAGGAATTATAAACAGGCACCGGGTAGAGAAGGAAAGTGCTTCCCATTGAAACTCCTGAACGAGTGGCTTTTTCCCTCAAACACAAAATGGGAGGTCACCCTCAGGGCTACAGGGAGATGGTGCTGCTCAGGGAAGTCGTGTCGTTGGCACAAGTCACGGCACCCCTGTGTCCACCGAGCTCCCCGGACCGTTCCCCTGCCCAGCTGCATCCCGCGGATGGCCGGCAGTGGCGTGGCTCCCGCCGGCTGCTGAGGCTTCTCAGAAGAAGAAAACCACCCCCAAACTTCAGCCGGCGGCTGAGCTGCCACCCGGGGAGGGAGTCCTGAAGGCAGCCTGGGTCCAGGGTGTCATTGCAATTGCTCCAACATATCTGGCCTCCAAAACTTTGGTTGAAATCCTTACATTCTGGCCACCCCAGAGCCTCTGACAAGGTAATTTGTCCTGGCGTCTCCAGGTTGTAGCCTTTCATTTTAACATCCCCCAAGGTATTTTCTGACCCCTCTGGCGCCAACATGAGCTCTGCGCGAGGCTGTCTTTCCCTGGGGACGCGCTCTCTAATGACTGGAGCAGCCTGGGGACGCTGGGGACGAGCTCCCGGATCCCCCGGGAAAGCCGACCTGCCCGGGTGCCAGCGGGGATGCCCCCACCCGAGAGCGGTACGCGGGTCCTTACCTGCGTGTCGAGGAAGGGCTCACCCGCCAACTTGGAGCACGGGCGGCAGGAGCGGAGCGGCGGCGGCTGGCATGACGGCGGCCGGCAGCGGCTCGGCGCAGCGGAGGCACGGCGCGGTGCCGCGGGGAGCGGCGCACGCTCCGGCTGCGGCCGGACCGAGCTTCAGCTCCGCGCCCGCAGAGCCGCGCTCGCCCGCCGCGATCAGCGGCTCGAGGGCTGGCTGAGGGGAGCCGCGCCGCTGCTCCCGACGTGACTGCTTCGCCTGCTGCTTCCGATAACACGGCACAAACTCTCTCCTTTCTCTTCGGATCGCTGCATTTCCCAAGGCACAGCCCTTCCCACTCCCCCAGCAAGGGAAAGACCCAGTGCCAGAGATCAGAGTTTAAAGGAAAAGGATAAAAGCGATTTCTCCCTGCCCGAGCCGGTGCTGAGGGGGACAGGCAGCCCGGCCCGGGGGCTGCACCCCAGGGACAGCCAGCTCGTTCGCTGGCTCAGTCAGGTATTTTTCCGCCCCTGCTCCGTAAGGATCGCGGTGGCAGGCTGATTTGCCACACACAAGTCTGGGCATCACTCCGATTAGTGAAGGTAACCGGGGTTTGCACCAGCACGGCAAGAGTCAAGACCACAGCCCCAACAGCCCATTCTTCCCGAGCCCATTTCCTCCCCACTCCCCAAATGTCCCGGGGAGCTCGCGATGCTCCCTCACGTTTCGGCAGCTCCCTGAGCCCTGTACCGATGCCCTGCTGTTCCTAAACTCCCTCAATGTCCCCCTAATAGTTTTCCCCACTTCAGGACCACCCAGCACCGAGACGGCTGTTGTGAGATACACACGCGGCTGGAGCCTGGTCTAGCCGCAGCGACCTGCTCGAGCGGCAGAGAGCCGCCTGCCTCCACCCATCCTCAGGGCTGCTTCGCCAGGAGCAGCCCGGGACAGGCAGACCCAGGTGCGACCCACAGCCGCCCGTGTCCACCAGCAATGCTACCCGGCTGTCACCTCTGCAGCCCACACTGAGGCTCCCTTGGGACTACGCTGTGTCTTCTCAGTACAACGTGACTTTCTGAAGGTCTGGGCTTGTCTCGAACACCTCCCAGCTTCTTCCAGGAGCTGAACTGACAGCTGATGGGCTATGTACCACGGCAGCTGGGTCTCAAGGTCCCATTACAGGGCTGGGGCACTGGCTAGGGAAGGAGATGGGCAGGGCAGCCTTCCCTCTGCTCCAGCTCTCTCACGTAGCTGCACATCTTTCCAGCAGCAGCAGAGACACCCTTTTGAAAAGCTAAAAGGACTGAATTATGTGGGCTAACCACAGGACTGAAATGCATGCGTTCCCCAAAGAACCAGTGACAGGTGACCAGCTTTCCCTCCCTGAGGGTAACATCTGTGTCCCACTGTTGGCAACCCTCAGCAGGTCTGAGGAGGATTTGAGCCCAGAATGCAAGCCCCAGGCTGGGGGCCTCAGCAGGGAAGCTGTCTTTGAGGATGTCAGCCAGAGCAAAAAGGCTGCTGCTGTGAGCAGAGTGATCTCCAAGGAAAACAGGTCTATGCCCAGACACAGCTAGCATAGTCTGAGGGAAATCTAAGAAGGAAATAGTTGTCCCCATGTCCCTGGGGAGTGGGACAGACAGGAAAGGGTTAGGGGAGAAGTAAGGAAGTCTTGCATCTCTGCCATCCGAGGTCTGTCAATTAGAAGATTAGAAGAACGCTTTGGAAGTGGCCTCAGGATGTGACTTGGGACACAGGAACAGAGCGGATGACTTGTAGGGGTTCCTTCAGCCCTGCTGACTCCAACTGCAGCAAAGTCCTAGCAGGTGTGAAGTACAGCTCTGACTGTGCACACCTCAAGATATAGTGTGGGTGTGGGGTGAGCTGGAGCCCTGTGAGGAAGCAGGGGAGTCAGTGGGACTTGCTGTCGCGTGGGTGGGAGCAAAGAGGTTTGGTGGCAATCACCTTCCTTGAGTCAAAGTCCCCATAAGGGCCCTGCTCACATCCTCTGGAGCCTGTGGGGTGCAGTCACCACTGACTGCCTCCTTCCCAGTCCTGCTGTTTGCCTCAGTTATGAGATCCCATGCAGCCCTGTCCAGCCAGCATGGGGTGATTAAAGGCAAAGAGGCCCCATTCCTCAAGGACAGCCTCTTGGCAAGGATGGAGAGGCTGTGGAGTTATAGGGAAGAAAAGCATGCTCAAAACCCTATTTCTCCCTGTCCTGGGGGACCATGAAAGAAAAACTCAGTTGCTGGATGAAGCATCTTCATCCATGGCTTGCTGAGGCTCAGAGAGCTTTGTTGGCTTTTCCACGTGCAGAAGGCTGGGAGCATGGAGGATAGCTCGCAGGGACATCACTGCCACAATGGTGTGCATGGTCACCTCCACCACAGCCATCCCTGCACAGTTCTGGCCAGCTCCTTCCATCAGCTGGGGATGGTTGCTCCATCCTTCACCAGAGCCATGCATATCCCTGGAGTAATGTGCAGGTGCAGCAGTTGCCTGGCCAGGCAGAAGATTAGCCTTCACCAACTTTTAGAGATACACTGCTTGGCAGAGTTGCAGCACTGTTTCTCCTGCTTGAACAATGAGAAGGTGACATTAGCATCCCAAATCAAAGCCTTTCCAACCTCAGGCAGCTCTGAGAGGAATGTATGCATACATAGATATGTACATGCTTGTGGAGGTATGGCAAGAATCAGCCTAAGTGATGTGGTTTGGAGCTTTGCTTTTATAACCACAGCCATTCAGTCCAGATTAGAGATGGGCAGTGTCCCTGAGAGGTGACATGAGGCAAGAGGCTCTGTGACCTAGAAGAGTCAGCCAGAGATAAAACACTTCTGGGGCACTGAGGATAAGCTGCCAGTTGGAAACTTTCCTGCCCAGAAAAAGGGACAGACTCTGAAGGGAATGTAGCAAAATGCACAGAGCCTCCCACTCCACTGAAACTTCTTGTTGTATTTATGCATCCACTGGGATGCATGAAATGAAAATGGATATCAGAACGGCCCTTTGCTCTCAGCTGCAAGGGAGACTCTGTTGAGAACCCATCCAACAGAAGGAAATGAGATCTCATTACATTAAATATTAGCTGATACACTATCCCACTGGACTCATTATACAATCCAAATGATGCCCCTCTTCAAAAAATAATTAGAAAAAATGTTGCTGTAGACATAAAATACAAAAGGAAAAGGCTATACTTGTGTTTCAGGCCTGTCTGGCATGGAAAGGTGGGGTTTTGTTTTTGATTATGTTCTCTCAAACATTAAAATCTGCCTGCCAATATATTCTGAGCTTCACATGCTTCATTTAACTACAGACATAGCAACAGATAAATATGCCATGACAAATTTGGTAACATTATTGACAGCCAAAAAAACCCTCAGATCACTCAAGACTAAAAGCCTGAACTCCTGCCAAACAATCACAAGCAGAGTGCTGAGATGAAAGATTTCGCGCCAGAAATGGACAGACACTACTAACACACCCTATAACTGGAAGGTCTCCATAAAGGTGAGGGCTCAGCTGCAGAGCATCCTCAAAGAAACAGAAACAGAGAGTGAAAACACAACAAAAGGGAAATGAACCACACCTGAGATGACTGCTCATTGCTGCTCAGGTGACTGCATCAGCAGGACAAGGGAATGTTGGGCAGGACTCACTTGTCAGAGGCACTCAGTGCACCTTGTGCCAGTGAGGTATGTGGGGGGATTTGAAGTACCTGTTTATGATGGCTGAGGGGAGCACCGAGCAGATTAAAGTTTTATTTGCAGCTATTAAAAATGATCAGATTAGTGAAATCTAGAGACAAGAGAGAAGCTTCAGAGGGATGAGCCAAAGCTAATTAATTGGGCAGCGTGATGGGAGAAGAAATTAAGCGTGGACAGGGGGAAGGTAAAACATATTGGAAGGAACAAGTTCAGTGCTTCATAATCACTAGTGATTTCTAAATTAACTGGAAGCATGAAGGCAAAAAAATTATGTGGGTGTATCTGTGGACAATAGAGCGAAAACCATCTGGTTAATGTACAGTGGTGAGGAAAAAAATCCCGCACATGCTGTCAGATTGCTTTCATAAAGGAATACAGAAAATAATAAAAAAATTACAGTACTGTGTTGGTCATGACTCAGCTGTTATGGATAAATTGAGATTTTTCAATTAGAAGACAGATTCAGATCATTTATTGTGAAAAATATAGTTAAAAAACCCCAACTCTTCTGTAAAAGTGAAGAATTAAGCCCTGGAGGATAGAATGAAGTTTTTAAAGTGTTTATGAGGAAGTCTGGCCATTTAGGAGGCAGCAGTAAACAACACATAAGATGCAGTTCCCTTACGAAAGATAGCACCCAGCATCAGATCTTGTCAGGAATCTGACATGATGTGAATAGCACCTGATAACACAGATAACTCCAACTTCACATGGAGTTAAAGATCCTGAGAAGCCTGTGTTTGCAATATATAGGAATAGCATCCTTCTGGAATTAGTGTAAATTTCCTTCTTCTTAGCAAACCTTGTCTTCTGAGGAGGCTGGAGATTAATGCTTCGGTGCAGTAAGATCCACAGGGAATCCCTTCCTATCCTTCCCTTGCTCCCCATCACCCACGGCCCTGAGTGTCTCATGCAGCCATGTCTAAGGGGGCTTCTTACCCCTTGTGAGCGGTGCTGAAGCAGTATTCAGGTGTCAGTCGCTGTTCTTTGGCACGAGCTGGATGGAGGAAGGAGGCACTTTAGGAAAGCACCTGAATTCTGCAGTAATTAAGCTCCCAGTTGACATGCTGTGAATAGACATTCAGTGTGACCTTTTCCTTGCTCCAACTATGAAATCTTGCTGGATGCTTAAAGCACGTGGCAGAATCTCCAGCTCCTCACAGCATAAGGAAATCCCATTCTCCTGGACAGTTGCCTTAGGAGGACAGGACATGGAGATCATTATGGAAAAAGACAAGTCCCCATAAGGGCAAGAGACCTCCATGAATTCCAAACGCCCCCACCAGAGCTGATGCTCCTGGACCAGAGCCAGCTGTGGTGTAGGCTGGGAGA